GTAATTTATATATTTGGCATAGTTCTCCTAGAACACAGATTTCAGTGTTGTGAATTTATTGATTCTGTTGCTTGATTTTACAGCAAGCAAGTTATCAACAAGCTCTTTTTGAAGACCAGGAAAAGCGATTCCTTCAGAGAGCGTTGATTGAGGAAAGGACCAGATACTGCATGCTGTCAACTTGTTTTAGGCCAGTTGTGGTAGGTCCGATTATTAGGCCATAGAAAAGCAAATCATCTTTGTTTCCTTGTTTGACTTGTAAGTGCACCAAAAAATGAACGCCGAAATTATGCTTTCGGTCAACTACAAAGTTGAAAATAACCAAAGTTGAGCGCATTTCATGGTAAGTTCTGGAACGTCTGCGCATGGGCCATGAACGGGTTTGGGAAAAAAATTATTGTGTTGGAAAAGTGTTAAGTGACTTACTGGCATCTTACGCGAAACATGTTTTGACATGTTTCGCTGTTAACACATAATTTGAAAGAATCAGGAGATTTAAACTCTTATTTGCCCACAAAAGTTGAGAACAGGTAGCAACAAGTAGCGAAGGATTTTGGCCGCAAAAAATAACCTAATTGACCACTTGCAGTGGATATGGTAACTGCGAAACATTTTTAAGGAAAGTACAGTAAACTTTGGGACTAATATTCTCTCTTTTTGTCATTCACTCTTGTGGACAGCTGCTATTTTAAATGCAAACTTTATTCCAACTACTTTTATGGTTGATCATGTTTTACGTTAGGGCAAATTAATGTAATATGGTTTTGTTCTCTTTTAGGAGCACGAGATTTCCATGTTAGGGGAACTAGAACACCTTCAGTCTGTTCTCGAGGACATCGTTAAACAAACAAAAAATCCCACCGTTCTGCCACCAGCGGGAGAGGATCTGGTGCGAGAATTCAGATTGTCGGATCATCATAATTACGATGATCAGGTAAAATAAGCGGCGATTAAGTTTTAAATCTGATTATCACTTCCGCTCTAGTTGAAAAATATCCAGTCACTGCCACCGAGAATAGTCCTTTGCGGGGCTACCCTCGAGTAGACTATTATACCGTATAATCAAATGAGAAAATCAGAATTAAATGCCTGCTGCACATTCGCAGAGAATCAAATGCCTACCAGTCATACTGTGGACCCTTATAGTCTATAGTTGATAACACCGGCTTGCGCTCAGCATTTCGCTGAGTAGGTGAACCCCCTGAAGTGATGAACACGTAGTTTCTTCTTGCAATACCAGCTAACCATCCAAGCAACTTCTGATGAAAATTGAACAACTTGTCTATTGGGGTCAGTAACATGATCCGTTAATAATAAATAGTAAATTGTAAATAATAATAATCAAATTAAGGATAATAGGTAAATATTTTATTGTACTGTAACAGTAATGTAAAATCATAATTTAGTATTATCAACTGAGTTGATAACATATATAGGCCACCGTAAAGAGTTTCAAAGCTGACGTTTCGAGTGTCAGCCCTTCGTCAGAGTAAATGCTAAGCAAAGTTGTTAGTACTGTATTACTCTGTTATAATTTCCCACCGGTGCAGCACCACAGTTTCTTTAGAAACTTACCACCTTAATATAATTGTCATTATCCTAACTTTTCTCACATCATGTTGTAATTCATTTTTCTCCTCTTTTATTTTAAACTTAAGTCTCCTCCACCGAGTCCAACAGCAACTCTGACGAGAGCTGCAAGTCCGCTGCATACCGGCCGGGACCCCCCTACCACCCCTCCTCCGCCGCCTCCCTCGGAAACGGACCCCTACTACAACGCTTTCAGCCGGCATTATTCATTCTCCGTCAAACACACTCAAACGCGGAACAAGGTCATTGGATCGGTGACACCCACCACCTCTCCTAAGAAAGTCGCGCCTCCGCGGATCTGCGCACGCTCTACCAGTTTTAGTGTTTCTTCGACCTCCTCGCACTCTTCAATGTCATCTTTAGGCTCGTCTATTGGGTCGCCGTCCATCGAGAGCTTCCCGCAGCCGCCAACCCCGCTGCTATCGCCCGGTTACTCGGGAGACTTGCAGAGCGAACCATTACCCCCTCCACCCTTTCCTGGAGCAGTGCCCACCTTACCCCATCCAGGCAAGTCAAGTATTGTAATTGTTTTTGTCAAACTCGATTGGTTGATGATAGACACTGCAACGAAAGGTTCGGTTGTCAATCTTGTGTTGTGTTTACAAGGACTACAAACTTCGAAGGTTTTAAGCGTTCCAGCTCTCTCTGCCGAGGAATAAAACTCTGTACCAGCAAACTACCAGAGAAACCTGTCAAGTATCCCAAGTAAAGGTAGTTTCTGTGTCCTTTGAGCCAAGGATAGAGAGCGGGTCCATTGGGAGTCGTACCAGGGCCAGGTACGAAAGAGAGCCAAAAAAAACCGAGGGTTTCTCTATCTTTGACTGGTGTTTTTTTTTTTTTCGCAGTTTATTGACTTTTTGTGGCTTGTTCGTCATGGAGGCAGGGATCACTGATTAGTTATGGGTAAAATTAAAGATGTCAGGGTAATACTCGGCAGTTTCTCATTTGGTTTCTTTTCCTTCCTTGAAGGCGACAGAACATCTTGGACAACGTCCACGGACTCCGGGTGTTATTCGTCTTCCTCAGGGGAAAGGTCACCTTCTGCCTCGCTTGCACAAGTATATCTTCCCTCCTCGATCGCGGAACACCCGAGATCCAACGAGCCTTCAGGAAGGAATACCCAGGGCCCTCAATACGCCACGCCTTACGCTGTTAGCAGCACTCGATCACGATGTATGAGTGAATCGGCTTCCGCTATGTCGCCTTACTACCAAGGAATTGCGCATCGACGTAGCGACAGTGAGACTTCCTCGCAAAGCAGCTATTCAGGCAACGGCGAGGTGCCGGCTGGGGGCATGAACAGCAGCGATTCTGGATATTTTAGTTATGGAGGACGTTACCATCGCTCGAATCCGGAAAGTATACAAGAAAACTCGGGCGGGTGGGCGCCCCAGCAGAAAGCGAAGTCCACGTACAATAGGAGTCAAAGTGTATCAGGGCGACCGTCTGCAGCTCAACAGGCGCATCTGGCAGCTCTGGCAAGTCATGCCGCGCGAAGCAGAAGTGCACCAATGCCTCCCGCAAGGAAATCATCTGTTCCACCGCCGTGTCCGGAGAGAAGAACTGGACTTTCTGATGGTGAACTGAACAAGGAGGATCAGGAACTGGGTGAAGGCGCTCACTCGGATGAAGAAGGGCTAAGTATGCTACAGAAACAAATTCGGCGTCAGAAAAAGCTGATCGAGGCCAAGGCGAAAGACAAAGGCGAGCAGTCTTGATATTAATGAAGCTGTTAGAGCTACTAACTTAATCTGAAAAATTACTTTGGCGTTTAAGTTGCCATTCGTATCTTCAATAACCAATTTGATTATCTCGCCATGTGAACTTTGTGATTGAAAGGTGATGATATTCACATGCTGCGGAAACAAGTGAAGTGGGGTAGTGAAATGACTATTATATAATTACCATATTTACGATAGCGTGTATGCTGTCAATATGGTGCCATATAATGGTTTACATAAAAGGACTAAGGAGACTATGTACGTATGTAAGTAGATATAAGCGGTGGGGGCTTTTGTCAAACCGCGTGATCAGAAAAAGGTTAAATTGTTAAGAGTTAGGTTGGCCATAATCGGCCATGCTAAAGGTTTTATAGTATTTAAAGACGTGCGGCGCGTTTTAAAAAGTTATCATGTTAATAGTTTGCATAATGTTTCCATTAATAGAGCTCTAAAGCTTTTGTAATGAAATGAATGCTGCGCTAACCTTCTGAGATTTTTAATATATATACTGAGAGCTTTGGGTAGAGATTTCACCAACGGCGCTTATATCAGGGCCAAAAAAAATCATCTTGTCCTGTATTTATAACAACGATAAGAACGCGGTCGCTTAGTTTAACGCCATTATTCCTTTTTACGAACTCTGGTTGTGTTAGATTTTTTTTAAGTTTAGGATGGGTGTTGAAATGCTTCTCTAAAGTGTCAATAGATTTGTCAGTTTGGACGACATTTTTTGTTCAATCTTAATTTAAAGTTAATTTGAACAGTGCCCATGGAAATGAGATTGTTATGTTCAAACGGCTGGTGCTGTTTCTTCTTGACATAAAGCTAATCGGAGTGGACGAGAACCTTATTCAACGCTGTCCTGCAAGTCAGTGGCAGTAATGAAAGCGCAGGCGCCTTCCAAGGTTGACAGGTCTCGCCCAGTCTATCGCTATTCATTTCCATGGATCACTTTTGTCATTTTTTACTTAATTTGAGGCATCAACGATTCAAAAAGATAATTGTTGACCTTTTTGCTATGGAGATGTAGCACCCTTTTCCTAGAAGCCTATGCGAAACGCACTTCACATAATGGAAGGGCACATGCTGTAAATAAGCAAAGATAGAAATTTATATATGCAGGAACAGTTTGCCGCTGTACGAGGGCTATGTTGCGCTCTATGATTCTCCAAAACTTGATAATTTTTTTTGGTAGTTCGTCACTTAGAATCCGGGTTGATTTTTCCTCCATTCTCGAACTCCCCTTTTTCTCTCTCGTTGATTCGTTTTTTTTTTTTTGTTGGTGTACACCAGTACACCAACATTTCCTAATCTCCTTCAGCTTATTAGGTTCAATTGTTAGTGACGGAAAAGTTGCCTTAACATTGTGTAACTTGGCCCTCTTATTGTCAGAATTGATCACATTACTGTTCAAATTTTGTGTTCGATTAAATTGATAAAGCGGAAGATTTATCTCATAGTTAAACGGTAGTTCCGGTTGTTCTGATCTATGCGGTTCGTTATGTAATTTCGTACCTGTGCTTGTTCATCGACTTTCTTTTTGTGTAATCGTTCTCAAATAATTCAAGTTTAAGTCGAACCTTCTGCACTTGTTATAAAAAAATAAGGATAGCAAACTTATATTACCGGCCATTGTATCTTAAAGTCTGGAGTTAGACTAAGTGGTTCCAATAAAATAGAGATATCCAGTTTGTTACAGGGAGTTACCTGCCGTAAAAATCTTTTATTACTTCTGTTCAGCCTTTCAACAGAACATACACCTCTGCATACAGCCTTAAATTATCATTAATGCACGTAGCGGCGTGGGCGTCGACTAGCGCAACAGCTTATGCTTGGAAAGTGGGGCTACACGTAATTGCGTGCTGTAAAATCTGTCACGTAGAAAACTCCCTAGAGTAGGATTCCGTAGGCACTTTAATGGTTATAACTCGTCCTTTACATCTGCTGGTCTATCGTAGTCCAAGCCGTAGACCTCTTTTAGCCGTTGTTTAAACGCTTCCATGGCATGACCAGGTACAGGCAAACTGTCCAGGATTGCCTTTCTTTTCTCTTTAAAATCTTCTGAACGCATCGCGTACTCGTAAAATTGAACTGTCTTCCTAATAGCTTTGTCGAGTGTGTGCGGATTCCAGCGAAGATAATTCCACGCCATTTCAATATCTACCGGTCCGCGCGTCACCGAGGGGTAATAATACGTTCCTCGCTCGCTAGACTTGTCAAATTTTACGTCAGAAACACCAAGATGCTTCGCCGTAATTTGGAGAAATTCCTCCAGCGTTGCAGTCTCGCGGAAGGCTAGGTTGTAAGCGAAGTTGTATACGTTCTCGTCGTACTCAGGTAGGACAATCAAGAGATTTGCGACATCTTCGGCAAAGACGAAACTGAGCGGCTTGTTTTGAAGACTCTTTGGCAGTTCTAAAGGTTTGTCAAAGATGTCGTGGAAACGCATCCAAAGGAGATAGCGCCAGAAGCGATCGGTGTTGTCTCGCATTCCAATGACGTCAGGAAGGCGAATAATCATAAAAGGAATGTTCCATAGTTCGTGTTCTCTTCTGAGAACCTCTTCACCTAGGAGACAAATTCGTCTGCGTTCAGACAATACTTTGAGCTTGTAGAGACGTAGTTAGGGGAATTATGTGCATGCAGGAAGGTTAATGAGACCGCGCGCCGGCTTGCGCGCGGTGCTGTCAAACTTTCTAGCTCGCGAAGAAACATTTGTACCGAAGCGCTTTTGATGAAGGCCTGCTCGCACATTAGGATACTTTTTTAAGTACATACAAATTTATATTTCACATGATAAAAACGCGCGAATTCGAAGAATCTGTTCCGCACAAATCTTTTCCAGATACTCTATGGCAGATCTTATTTTATGAATACAGCACGCGAAGATTCGTATCCAATACCCCACCTCTCTCTTTAAAAAATCATAGCTACGTCTGGCTTTTGAGTCTGAGGGTTATAATTGAGAAGCCTACTGATGCGAAACACTTAAGGTTGACTAAGCCAGCGAGCAGACCCTTATTGTCAGTGCTTTGGCACAAGCGTTTCTTCGCCTGCGGGAAAGTACGAGGCTGTGAGCAACGCGAGCCATAGAGACGTCCTGTAGGGGTTCCGTACTGATAGTGCCAGACCCTCAGCGAGCTTCTCCCCGATTCGTCTCAAATCTTCCCGCAGGCGGAGAAACGCACGTCCTTTAACGCTCACAATGGCGGCTGGCTCGCCGGCAAGGTTTACTTTGCAAATTGGGTTCACAGATTTAGTACAGACGACTCTCAGCAAGTTTCCATAACAATAGGCAATTGTGCAAACGGTTGACGACATTATTATAGCCAACAAATCGACCTAACAGATCGAAACTAACCGATAACAATTTGCGTAAGCTACATAACCTTTATTTTAAGAGGGAAGAGAAGTCAGTAATATCATAGAAAACTGACCAATCAGTTCTTTTTGCTTTTTTTAAGATTAAGACTTGTACCCAAAAAGATGCTTGAAATAGCAAGCAGGTTAAATGTACTCACACTCCAGCTTTGCACTTCCATAAGGGTCCTTCTGACTATAGGCCTCCCTTGTCTTCGGATCCTCTGGGCGCTTGGCATCGTCCTCACGCGTGGGTCCCTCGTGGGAAGGTTCCTCGCAAACCTCATACACAGAATCAGTGCTGATGTAAATGTAACGACGAATCCTGCTACGCATCTTGAGCATAAAATCCTGAGGATGTTAAACAAAATCTAAGAAAGTAGAAATTCACGGTGGGAAGGGTAGAGGGGGGAGGACAGAAACCTTTTCCATATAATTGCCTCAATCTTCAATCTTTACCGTGCCCAACTGGGCGTAGCTGAATTAAGTGTATTAGTTAGTGCTTGCCGAAAAGAGCTCTTAAACAAGGACGGATTGATTCACAATCAAGACTACTGCAGAGAAACATCCATTTGATATCATTTCAGTAAACATTCGTTACCTGGAATCTTAAATTTTTTAACGTCTAATTTCACTAAGTTCGTTTTAACAAGTGCCAAGCGTCACACATGCGCATGATTTCTGTTAAAAGCACTTTGATTCACCGATTCTGTTACCTTAATGTTCGGCCGCGTGGAAGTTGTCACGCAACGGTAGCTGTAACAGATCACAGTGAAATGTGACAAAGAAATGCACTCCTGTAAGAGCCATGTATCGTTTATGTGCGTGAATTCTGACACGAGCGCTTGCACGGATTATAAAGGATAAGAATACAAGGCCTTAACTCGTTGAATTTTTTAAATTTCATTAACGTTACATTTACGCTATCGTAGAAGAACGCACTCCGTAAAGACCCGTAGGACACACCGACAGGTTACGTTGCGTTTACAAACAAACAAATTGTTGACAATAAACATCGATATTACATTGTAACAAAGGGTGACTGTTTACCTTAATATCACTAGGTCTGTAACCACTAAAGTCGAACACCACATCAAACATGCCTTTCTCTTGTGTAACATCTCCAAGTCTTTCAGCGCAATCGTTAAACTTAGCTCGATCGCACGGCACGAATTTGACCCAAGGTTTGATTCTAAGAGCAGAGTCCCAGTACCACGTCCCTCGATGCGCGATTGTGATGTCGTGTCCTCTCAGCTTCAACCGAGCCACCGTCTCGCTTCCTAGCATTCCGTCACCTCCGAGAACAAGAATTCGCTGTCGATAACGTGATTGTGCTCCACTGGATGAAGTGAAGCATAAGCACAGTAAAGTCGAGGCCAGTAGAAGATACATGGCCGTGGAGGTCGAACACTTTATGATGGCTGCACTGGTATTAACAAGCGGAGCTTCACAGAAGGGTCTTTGTGAGGTGGCATTTCTTTTACTGTCACGCAACATCCGGTGTGCCTGTCACACGAGCAATCATGTTGGCGGAATTCGTTCAAAAATACGCAGAATATTGCTGTATTTAAGAATTTATACACAAAGTAGGAGATTGGATGAAATATGTTATGACCTGCAGACTTATTAGGTCCGTTGGTAAAAAAGTGCATTTCAAACGAAGCTCGGAATAACTCGAACGAACCTTCGCACAGAATGGGATCATTTTCAGATAAGAGAAAAAACAAAAGTATAATTCATCAATTTTGCTCTGAGTAAAAAAATTAAGATTTGGACAGCCAGAAATTGTATTTTTGAAAGGCGAGTGATTTATTGTCAGAGGAAAAATTACGATAAAATGATATTTCGTGACCTTTATCCAGTAGAAACGATTCACTCATTGGGGTGTTGCTGAACAGAAAGTTCGAGGGCTCTAATGAGCTTTGTTCTTCTCCAAACGCGTCTCAAACTTAAGGATGCTGCAAACTTGAAAGAATTTTGCAATTGCATCACATTAGCTTTTTCACCTGCGAAAATCCCCTCTGGAGACGCTGCAGCTATGTGACATGTTGTTCTCTAGTGCACATTGGTATCTTGTCAGAGCTGTAAATAGAGGCAATGGCAGCTATTTGGCCAGATGTCTAACAGGGGTAAGTCAAAATATTGGGTTCACCACGGTTTTATGGTGGATGTTTTCTCTATTTTGTCATAATCATTTCACTTAGCTCTATTATTTTGACTCTGATGCTTTCATTGTTCTATGTCATTCGTTAACTCACCAGGGTCCCTCTCCGAGTATGAGTTGAGATATTTCAACTGAAATTACGTTAACTTTGTGTGAACGTAAATGACAGCTGTAGTTCTCCTCCCCTAACATAAAACAAGTTTGCCCAAAATCTTATAATTCATTTCCCTACCTGTTACAATCATAATATTTTGGTGGCCAATATGAAAAGACTGAATCAACTTGAAAATTCCTATCAGTCTTAAAAACAAGGTTATCAAGTTGAATGATTTGGGAACAAACTGCTCAAGGTTTGGGTAAACTTGTTTTAAGTTAAGGGATGAATTCAAAAAAGTGGTCAGGGGCAAGCTTGCATCTGGGCAAACTTACCAGCTACCTATCAATCAGATGCTTCAACCTTCAGCCACTGCATACTACTGATCTGCTTGCCCAGTAATTGTCAATAATTTGTGTGGTCCTTCCAATCACAATATCACAGTGGCATGTTAATGAGAGAAGTACCTTTGGTCAGAATTTGGACATTACCTTAACTTAAGGAAGAAGAAGTCATTAAATGCAAATTGGTTATGAAATATGAGGGACTGTTCAGTTATAGTTGTCTGCTGGGTTTTTGGTACACAATGTTTAGTAGTGTGCCAATCATTTTGAACTAACTGACCAATTATTGAATTCTCTCATTGATCTATTTGTTCACAATGTGTGAGAACAAGAACAGAGAATTGTGTGTGACCAGAAAGCTTCCAAGCAAAACTGCAGCACTGTTGTTTTCTTCTTTGATATTTGCAGGCCTTTTGGAAATGTGAATTTTTTATGTCAGAAGCAGTGTCTGTGACGATAAACTGTGAACCCTTTTACAACCTATCATTCTCAAAGGGAAGTAGGGGTGGGGGTAGGGTGCAGATAAGAAAATAATGTTCTCACTCTCCTCTGCTCTAAAATATATGCAGTATTTAACTTGTTAAACAATTCTTAGGGCACTGTCCATGCAACAGTGATATTCAATGTACCTGACAAAAATGTAACCAAAAAGATTGAAGGTAAGAAACTTGTTCTGTTTGGATTGTGTCCACATTTAAAGCTACAGTTGAAATTGCATAATAAAATTGGGCATTAGATATCATTGTGAATAATTTCTCTGTTTTGGTCTTCTCTTAGTTGTACAGAATGACTTGACAAAGGAAAACGTGGATGCAATTGTGAATGCTGCAAACTCCTGGCTGAAACATGGTGGAGGAGTAAGTTGTTGATCAATTCATTGTTACTGTAAATGGGGTAAGTTTCTAAAGAAACTGTGGTGCTGCATTGGGGGGGGGGGGAGTGTAACAAGACAATTTTTATCATTTTACCTGTTGAAGGCTGTAGCGCAAACAGCCGAAAGCTCGTATTTTTTAAAAGTTTTAGCCAGAGATCGTTTTTTAATTTTATAAGATGTTTTATCCTGGCTGCGGCCCCTCTATCTTTTCACAATTTTTGTTTTATCAACTGAGTTGATAGTGTAAATTGGCCACCATAAAGAGTTTAAAATCTGCTGTTTGAGCATTAGCCCTTCATCAGACCAAATGAACCATTGGTTGTGGTAGTTAAGTAAAGAATGCAGAGATGAAAGTGGAGGTTAATTTTATGAATTCCCTTAATTCCAATATGTAAAAAGTGTTTTCATATTAATGTTACCAAGATTTCTTGAATGTTTGAAAATGGTCTAAAATGTGTTTTTTCTATTCTGACAGCCTCCAAAGGCTACAGGTTTGGAACTAGAGACTCCACCTGATCATCTGTAGATATAATTTCATTAATTCCCACTTCTCCACTCCCTCCACCTCCCCTCAGGCCTTAAATAAGCTATGTCACTCCCACTTTACCCAGAATTCATTTAGCCATACAGTTTGTAAAACTACTGTAATTCACTTCTTAATGATAAGTGTCAATGACCCTCTCATTGTGCCAGGTAGCTGGAGCAATTGTTAAAAATGGTGGAGATCAAATTCAAAACGAAAGTGATGAATATGTAGCTAAATATGGTCCCATAAAGACCGGAGGGATTGCTGTTACCAGACCTGGAAGTCTTCCATGTAGTATTTTAATCCATGCAGTAGGTAAGTTCAGTTGTATACATATGTTTAAATATGTATTGCTTTTTCCCGTCTCCATTTTCTTTATCATGTTGTAATTATTCAAAGGTTATGATTTTTGAAATGGAGGGAAGAAAAATAAAAAGATAAATAAACAAGTAATTAAAAAGTTTAGTTGTATGCTTGGAATGGAGTGTTGATTTATTTATTTCAAGTTAAGGTGAGTTCAAAACAGTGGGATTATATGTAAACACCAACTCTATGTTGAAGTAATGCTTCCAAAATTTCATTCATTCCCTTGAGAAAGGTGTAAAAGAAATTCCCCTTAATTTCCCTTATACTTAAAGACACCTGCTTTGAAACTGTTTGGGTTCGATTTTACACTATAAAATAGGTTTAAACTGTAGATTGGAAATCGTAAATTTAAATCTGCTTAAAATGATTTTTTCTGTTCAAAGAACACTGTGTAATCAAAATATGACAACAGGAAACTCACTGGAAAAATTATTACATTCTTAAAACTTGCTTAAGACCTTGGGTTTAATCTAAACGAAAATGTCTTTTTAAGTTACTCTCGGTTACGATCCTTGGGTCTCCATTACCACTGGGAGAACCCTCATTCCAGTTTTCTTTATTGTTAAGTTCTCCTACAAGGTCCTGATACTTGCTAACCTTCTGCGCTTCTTTTGCTCATATCCCCGAGTCGACGGCTGAGACTGTGACGTGACGTACTTGACAGGTCTGCGCAATTTTTTTTTTTTTTTTTTTTTTCAACCGCCGGATTATTATCATCATCATTGTTATCAAATGTTATAAGTGTTTTTATACTTCGTTATCATTCTTGATTGATACTGTTATCATTTTTTTCTAATTTTTAGGTCCGGTTTGGATGGGAGGGCAAAAAGATGAAGACAGCAGTCTTCACTCAGCCATGTACAACTCTTTGTCCGAGTGTCATTCAAGGCTTCTGAGCAGTGTAGCTGTCCCCGCCATTAGTAGCGGTATTTTTGGATTTCCTAAGGCAAGATGCGCGAAGATTCTGTTCTCGGCTGTGTTGGAATTCTTCCGCGCTGAGCCCAAGAGCTCTGTTAATCTCGTGCGTCTTACAAACTTTGATAAACCAACTGTAGAAATTTTTAAGGACGCTGCAGCTGATTTAAACGAAGAACCCGATATAAGAGTGGAGCTAGGCCAAGCGTCGTGAAATTTAGTTCTTTTTAATAACTCTACGCTTAACTTCAAAGCAAACCATATTTAACAATTACTCACCAAAGTGGAGATAAATATCCACCACTTTCACCGACACTTTGGTGAATAAATTTTTTAGTGTAAACCACGCTGATACCAAAAACTTAGTTTATTTCTTTCAATATACCGTAAAATGGTGAGAAATTAATTACGGGCATGAGGCGTCAAGTACAACTTCTCGCTCGTGCAATTCTATGTCGCCATTTTTGCGCCTTTTTTCTGAGTATTTGCGAAACCAAAAGCTTCGCTGCGTTGAAAAGGGGACAATTCTGCTTTTTTCTCATGAGCCTAGAAATAGTTGGATCGTAAATCCGTGGTGTAAAAATGTCATTTAGTTTCGTTTGTTTTTATGTTCATAAGGCTGCAGTTGTTAAACTCAAATTTGAGAGATACGTGCCATACGTTTTTTTGGGTAAAAGTTTCGCATGTTCACGCGTACTTACGAACTTTAAATTGGTTAGTAGGGGGACTGAAATGCATGGGGTGGTTTCGGAAGTTGGTGTGATGTATTTTTGCATGCGCTTTCTAATTTTTCAAATTGCCATATTTTATTGGCATACTTTAGGGTTTCGTGGGCGCTCAGTAAATACTTATTTTTTAGATACTTCCCCTCAGGTCTCGCCCACGTTGGGCAGGTGTTCAGGAAGACATGTGAGTCGGTATAAAGAAAGATACCATGAGATTAAAAAGCGAAATTGGAAAATGTTTCACGGAACAAACCAAAATTTTCTTTCTAACCATGAATAATTTTGTGTCGCTTTTTACTCTACTTCATTTCGTTCTTTTTTGCTCCTTTAATTTAAGGGCCTTACAGTTTTGTTTTTGTCCATGTAGGCGTAGGGAAAAATTAATTTCAGCTTTATTGATATACTAATCATTTAAGCTTTATGAACGTCCTCGATGAAAGAACTGTATTATTACAAACTGTCAGTAGCTTCTATCCATATGTTTATTTTCAATTCTTCGGCGGTTGGAGAGTCTCTTAAATTGTGCTCCCTTTAAGTAGAGCGCGTTATCGCAAAAAATTGTAATACGGGTGATCGTAAATATTCATCTTGTCCATTACGGTGACTAAGATAGACTAAACCATTTTTGCCTGGCAAAGTTGCAAATTATTCAATTCGCAAAATACCATCGATTTAGCTTGAGTGTAACAGCCAAACGATTGCTGCAATATATTTATTCATTCTTTCATTTAGAGTAATCTTCCCCAATATAGTTAAATTAGCTCGTTTGATGGAAAGGTACGATAATACTGACATTTTTGTCGTAAAAATTGCAAGAAAAAGGAAATAAATCTTACTGCATTTAGCATTTGCCAGCAAGTAAAAATCAGCCAGCAGCAACGTTATCTTTTTCGTTGGGCTTGTATCCTAGTTTATTTTCAAACATTTCGTTTTGTGTGGAACAAGGCTAGGCTGTTGATGTTTAGGTGTCTAAAGGTCGTAACTGGACGTTGTAAAAATTTTTTGCTGCACAGCTTTAAAACCTAGGATTAATGCCTCGTTTTTTTATCTTAAAGATCGCAGAAAAGTGAATTGAAATGTCTTCTGCTTTAGCAAAATGCGTGTTTGCTAGATTGTTCCCACATATATTGTTATGGAAATGAAAGAGATATGACAGACACTGCAACAAAGTGTCACTTTTCGGTTGTGTTTTTGCCAGTCATTTTGACTAAAACACCCGACAAATCTGATTAAAAAGGAGACTTCGGAGAAAGGTTTCAAAAGTTGAGTTCTTTCAATAAAATTAATCGTTTTTAAAATGCTTCGTTTCTAGTGTGGACAAATAATAAAAGCGGTAGCTTTTTAAAAAGATGATTTTTCGCTTCCTATCAACATCATCTGGGGTTTCGTTGAACGATAGGCGAAAACTGACGTATTAAAACATGCGCGTTTTCAAAAACGCGCTACTGTGGACATTTAGGAGCAAAACAATAAACTTCACGGTGGTTAAAAAAAATTTGCTTCTTTTTGTTGGTTGAAACTCAGACGGATTCTCAAGAAGAGGATTAGTGTGGTCCAGGCCTTACTCGTCGCTTAGTCAATCGTTGGTCTGTAATTTTGTGAAGGTTCCTGTGTGATCAAGAGGAAATAATGCGACGTTACCTTCACTTGGCCATTTAAGTGGTCTAACTGACTGCATGTGGCAGTTTTATGTTATCAAAAAAAAAAGGCTGAAGCAAGGGCTGGGCTGCATTGGAACGAATTCAAATATTTTGTAATTTTTCGCGTGGGAAAAAATTGCAGAATATTAAATCCACAATTTCAAAATTTCGGAGGTGGACGCACGAGATCTGTAGCTTTTAACCAAAATTTGCTGGTATGGGCAGATATGTCAATCTCAAAGTAAACGCTTTGGAGGAGCTAAAACATTTTTCGAGGTAAAAATTAGGCAAGAATGAATCGTATTTATGTCGCTTTCGGCTGTTGTGAAAGTTTACTTCAGTAGCCTTATAGATTATAGTTTCTTGGCCTTAAAAAACAACAGCGTTCTCAGTATCGTGGATGCACTATCAGTGGGCTTTTCTGTGGGTAGCTTCCGCTTTTCACTGACAGTTTCCCGATATGCTCTCTAAAGTTCGAAAGTTGAATGGATAAAACAGCATGATTGCTTGATTTGCAAAAATTTGGAAGCCTCCGAGGCAAGATCTCGGTTCCTTTGAAATTTGGCGAAATTTTGTTTCTGCGCAAAAAAATGGGCAAATTTTTGTAAACTCTGGTCACACTTATTTCACATGACTTGTTGACAAATTAACAGCTATATACCCAAAAGTCTTAGCCCGGGCCTCATCTAAGGGCGGTCTTTGAACTCAATCGGTTACCATGATCGTACACGAGCCAAAAACAAGTTATCTTAAATTAGAGTCGGAGGAAAAAATTTTTAGGAACCAAAAAAATTAAAGAAAGCAAACAGTCACAAATCTTGGCCTAGCGTTACGCCCCGACGGCGCCGAAGTGATTGGTCGATCTTTCTGAAAGATCTTTCCTTCGATCCCTTTCCAGAAAAGTTGCTCATGTGAAGGGTTTTGTCCATATATAGCAACAAATATGGATTCAAACGAAGGAAAGTAAAATTCAAGAGCGCTCTAGCCTTACAGGAAGTGTTTTTCAGCGTTTAAATTCCGGAATTTTGGCGTGTAGTATATTCAATTAATGTTTGTGTGTGCAGTATCAGCATCAAACAATTTTATTTTACAATATCACCACGTCGTTGATGCCTTTTTATGGTCAAAGGTTAACATTGCGGCTATTTTCTTTCAATATCATGCGTTTTCACTTATGAACTCGAGTTATATCACACTTGCTTCATATTAAATACGTTAAAAATAGCGCAATAATATTTCTTCGTCTCTTGACGCATCATTGGCCTAAAGCTGAGTCATGCCCTTAGCAGAAACTATATTTCAAAACACTCAATTCCCCTGAAAACAAAGCTATTACATGGACCCATCTGGACATGTTATGAATTAAAGATTAGCTGATTTCCAAGACTTGTTGTTTCTCGTAGGACTTCATAAATTTCGCATTTATTAGCCAATTGTTAATTTTACTTCACTTTTTCGCGACGAATAATTGTTGAAGACGCGGCTTTCAGCGAAGTGATAACGCGGAAAGTTTAATACCCATGAAGCCCTGTTTTCCTCAACAGCCCGTGAAATTATTTCCCAGTCGAGAACAAAATAATTTAAACCTCAAGTACTTTGTTTTGAACGAAGTCAAGTTGTTTTTAAGGCCACATGTTTTTGTAGATGTCACTTCCGCAACGTCCTTTTATCGTCACACGCAAACTAAAGATTAAGCCTTCGCTTGCTTCAGCGAATTTCATTGGCTTTCTCTAAAACTCCGTTACTAAAAGCCTGAGCCAAACAAATGCAACTGAAAGTTAGAGAAAGCTCGAACTGCACAATTTTATAGTATTATGCTTTAAAAACAAACTTGCTAGCGTGCGGACAGATTTGTTGTGATATTCCGCGGACTTTGGTCGATCTCGTAAATTAGAACCAGACTGAACAAAAACCTGAAGACAGTCTGTCGATGTACGCAAGCAGTTCTGCAGGAGTAAGATGTTGAGATCAGCAGCATTCACCGCAGAAAGTTTACTATCTTGCAGTACAAACAATACAATTGTTTTCGATTAGAAACTTACTTGTTTTGCAAAGAACAGCAATTATATGGGAGTGGTTACCTTACGCCTCGGGCAAATGTTAAAGTTACATATAGTTGAAACACGAGAGCATGAAAATAGAAACCGGAGATATTTAAATAGGCTTTTACCATGCACTTTTGAGTTGTTCAAACGCGCTTGATCGTGCTCTACCATATTAAATATATTACACTGATGATGTAAAAACCCTGTAGCACACGGTTCATCGCGTGATTTTCGATTGAAAATTTCGGCAGTCAGACAGTGTGATATTCTGTCTGTCGAACAAAGAATATCAATCGTAGTAGATATTGTTGTTTTTTTTATTAATTATTGCAAACGTGCTGAAATTTTTCCTGAATGATTCAGCGTGACGGCTTGTTGCTATCTGTTGGCGCGCCGAAGCACTGGAACGAGCGTCTACACTGCCCTCACAACACGACAAATAGCCTGCGAGGTTGAAAAACAATAGCGCGAATCGATGACAAACAACTAGTGTAATTTTCAAAAGGTTTCGACCGGTACAGCGTGGAAAGCGATGTTTCTCTAACAGCTCCATATATCCTGACTCAAGCGGACTGAATCGCTGAGATTATTTGTGTTACTTTTTTTCGTTTTCTTGGACGCGTGTGTGAAATATTTTGGAAGATGAAAGTGACCATGGCAAGTTACGTCGAGGATTTGGTAAAGTGCGGGTTTCTTGAAATGAAGCTTCCGCGGAAACAGAGAAAGCTCACACACAAGGCAAGTCTGACTTTGATTGTGATTTCTTATTCTCCTTAAAGTATCTGCTAACTGAGCTTTTTAACAAGAAGTCAAACGAGTATTTTAATATATTCTGTGCACGTATGGGGTGAATAATGACTGCATAACTAATAGTAGTGTTTACTCTGATTTGTGTGAGATATATTCTGTTTTCTTCGCCACATCTGATTGAATACTATTTCAGGTTAATAACCAGAACACACAGATGAATACTTGTCATTAAGCAGGAGCAGGAATTGCCAAATTCGGCGACATTTTCAAACCCTCATTCGAAACCTTACTTTAGTAAACAAGTTGTTCAGCTGCTAGGAAAAGTATTGTAAATTCATCGCCATTTGAAACCTAATAGTGCTAGTTTTTCGTTTGATTGGTTAAGTGTACTTTTGTCTAAGCTCGAAAATGAAACGATTTGAAATTTGTGCGAACAAAAAGAGGTTTCTTGAGAATTTTTTGACAGCAAAATTATCAATTTCATTTCGCGCATGAATTAAAAATCAAATGAAATAGCTATGAAATTGATGCGTTAACGATGTGTCTGCTGTCGTAAAGAACAATCACTCAAACCCCCTTAGTTTTTTCACGTTTGTGGCACATGGATTCGTTTTCTTCCTTCCGCCGTTTCAAAAGCGATGAGTTTTGGCCCGTCTTTGTACACAAGTGTCAACAGATAAAATTATCCATCTAAGCTGTCACAGGTCGCCGGCCTCAACGTGGAACGATATCAAAAACATTCTTGGCAAGGAAAAGAAACGTTATGTCTTTAAAGATGGAGCAGACTAATGCTATTACAACGGCTAGCCGTTTGCTATTAAAGTTGTTTTTCTTATTGTGTCGAGAAAACCTGCAACTGACATTATCGTTGGAGATGAAATATGCATGTGATTTTGAACAATAGCTAAGGGCGAATTACCCATGGAACGCGTAAACACCGAAAAAGTAGAGTACACTTAACGCATATTGGCCTTCTGGAGTAATCCCTTTATTACGTACAAGAAGCACCTCTGCTTGAATCTTACGCACACGAAGTAAATTGAAGCTTGCATTGCAGCGGAAACATATCTTTTGTATTGTGATAAAATTCAAGAAACGGGATTCAAGTGCCTCATTTGTTATTTACCGTCAGCTCTATCATTTTTTTTGTCTCAAAGAAGTGCGAAAAACATGAAATAGTGAAAAAAGTATTTGGTAATTGCACATCATTGTAAACAACCATGGCTCTCCTGGTCGGTTTTTAATGTCTGAAATTTGCGCAGAAGTGAAATTGTATTACATGTGTAATATCCTTTAATTGGTGGGGGGCAACAAAACAACTTTGAACAAACAGAACAACACTAAATGCAATATTTATAGAAAGCATGTTATGTGATGGCAATAACTTGGTATCATTTAACGCCGCATGCCTTGTTCTTTCAAGCAAGACTTTATCCTTTAGAAGAAGAGTCGTTGATCAGTCAAAAGCTTCCAGATTTTAATTCTTGTTTTTTAAGGTTGAAAATAATAACAACCAATATGTCCTCTTGACATATTTACATTGTCACACACGGAGGGCTGACAAGACTTAGATGCTTATAAACTTGGAAATGTCAACTTGGAAGAGGTTCAAAATTCTTCGCATAGAAATTCACAAGGAATGCACCAGAAGTCAGCCGCAAAAAAAAGTAAAAAAAATTTGTGCTTCAACCTTAAATTGACGTAATTAATTGAATTAAAGGTGCAGAGGAACAACAACATCTTTGGTTGAAAATTGTATCTCTCCCATTGGTAGTTCAGTCAAGTTGTTGTTTACTGTGGACAGGTTATCGGCAGGTGTTATTTTAATGTTTTTCATCCTACAGCTGGCAGCTATTACAAGGTTGGCGAGCTGCCATGCATGCACATGATTATTGCTTTGTATGAGACCAGTCTGACATCTGTAGTTCAAGCTGGTTGGATTGTCTGATATCCCAAGATATTTGATTGGTGTAAATTTGACTCTCAGTGGAACTAATCAGGCTCACAGATTAACAATATGGAAAAAACAGCAAAACAATTATTATTGGGGAAACTAATTGGTTTGTAAAAAGAATTTATGGATCTTTCGTCTTCACGTGGCCCTAAGGGGTTTTATAAAATTGGTTCCCACCTACCAGCGCCATTAGTTACGGTGTGGTATTTTTCTCTTTTCTTTCTATCTGTATCTACTCCCATGTTGTCTTACAGCTAACTTGCCTTCATCAGTCTGAGAGTATGTGTGGTCTAAGGCTTCATCTCCAGAAGTCGCTGTAAATTAGCAGCTGGAAGCCAGAGTTTGAAGTTTAAACCTAAGGAATTGTAGTGCAGACCTAAGCCAACTAACCAGTCGATCCTGAGTTGTGCAGACCTAAGCCAACTAACCAGTCGATCCTGAGTCATGCAGACTTAAGCCAACTAATCAGTCGATCCTGAGTCGTGCAAACCTAAACCAACTAACCAGTCGATCCTGTGTTGTGCAGACCTAAGCCAACTAACCAGTCGATCCTGTGTCATTTCTTTATTTTTTATTGTTCAAAACATTTTAGAATTTATTAACATCTTGATTTTGAACACAAGCATGATAACCTAAGAACAGCGTTTTAGGGTAAGCAACCAGTAAAATCTTGAGAAATGGGTATGATACAAACATTTGCATCATTTTAAGGTTTACTGTCTGGATATCGCAGATCAAAAACATTCTCAGCAACTGCATCGAGATATATTAAAATCTCAAATCAAAAGTGCAGCAGTATAGAAAAAAATTGAAGAGGTTTATAGCAGAGACCCCTCGGGACACAAAAACTAAAATTTAAAAAAGTGGTCTAAGTTTTTCAAGGTGTGCAATTACATACACGTGGCTCGCAAAATGCAGTTCTGCAGTCATCCATCTCCTTTGGATGTCTTCACGGAGGATAATTCTTTCTTATCTACCCACTCTTTTTTTTTTAATTCTCTTTTGCCAAGTCAGGTCACGCACCTTGCTTTTTGCACATTTCAAACATCTGTATGAGATATAAGAGGAATGAGAAAAAGTAGATTTCCTTTATCTTTCATATCTCAAACCCTTGCAACAGAAATGTCTTTGCCAGCAATTTATGATTTTCTGCTCCAATTTGTTAAGCTAGATCTTGGGCAGTGTTTTGGATTCTTATCTTGCTAAAGCTCTCTATTATTCTTTGGCTAATACATTAAAGTGAGGTCAACTTATTTTAAATTCTTTGAGATCACATTGTTTTGAAAAGGTGATATATATTAAAGAAGTGACATAAGAGCAACTTTTAAGTGCTCCGCTAAGTTTTTTTCTGCTTTCAAGAAGTGCAATGGATCTTTCTTCTTTATAAGCATCGATGAGCTTTTTGGTGGAGGTAAGATTTTAAAAATCTTGAGATTTGACAAAATTTTCTTTTGGTATAATATTAACCAGTTTGTGTTGTACTAAGACAATTATCTACCTCTATATGGGTAAATATTGTTGTTAGATATTAGATATTTCATGCCCTCATGTTTATTTTTGGTATTTGAAAGCTGGATAACAAGAAAATGGTAAGTCTTGGAAAAATGAGATGATCTGTAAAATTTGATGTATTTCATCTTTGTTTAGATTTGGAAAAGAAAATGGTTTGTTCTGCGAAGGAAATCTCCGCGGGGACAACCTCGTTTAGAGTATTATCTAACAGAGAAAGCATGCTCCGAGGGTAGACATCGTACAAGTATTTCACTGGAAGATTTAACATCTGTCTCGCATGCTCATTCAAGGACACATAATCACAGTTTTTTACTCGTGGGTATGGAAATCAAACTTTTTCTGAGTGCGGATACTGAAAAAGAGTCACTTGAGTGGATTCAGCTTATTAAAGAACTTGTACTCCCAGAACCAAAGCTGTATCCCTCTGTTCAAGCTGGTGACATTTATGGTGAGTGTTAATACTATTTAACCTTGCTTTTGTGTGACTTGAAGGAGGCAAAGGATGCCTGAAGGCTCTTGTTTCAGCTTGACTATCTCATGGATGTTCTAATCAACTGGCTTGACAAAAAGCATGTTGTGGAGGGACATCAAGAATTATTGCATGAGCCACCAGACTGATTCCCTTATCTGGGCTTGTTTGTCAATTACAATACAACCATGCCCACTTGATCTAAGCCCCTGGGAATGGAGAAATCTTGGCAAAGGAGTCTCTTATAAGTTGACCCTCTTACTGACATGAAGTTTTGTCAGGCCATTTTTTATCTTTTAGTATCTGTTTAAAGAATTTGGCATTTTCCATATAGAAGTATTTGTAATTTCAGAAGAAAATGCTCACAGTAGTAGGAATAATTGAAAACTGGTGTGTTGGTACTTTCAAAAGAGGGATGGGAGCATTATCATTATTTTTTTGATGCAATTTGAAATGAACAATACTGGAAAAAATTTACCAGATTCGGTTTTAGATGTAACTTAAAATTCTCCTACTAAAGAGGGGTAATGGGAGGATGCAGGACTGGCTCCATGTGGGAAGATTCTGGAGTTTGAAATCACTGTATGACCTGTTTCTGTCAGATTTGTTCATGAATGCACATGAATACATTATTAATGCTCTAATAAGCCGATGTCCTTCTCTATAACTCCCATCCTAAATAAACCTGCTTGTAGCTTCAGATTCTTAAAAAGCCCTTCTGTCTAGCAAGTATTCCATCTGTCTCATCCCTCTTCCTTGCATTAAAAAAAGTTTGCTAAAAACTGCAATATATGTACATTCGGGGATTGTACTGTAGGATTTCACTCTTAATGTTTTCTTTTATTTGAAAATATTAGTCAGTTTTCATTCAAGGTTTTGTAGATTGCCTAACCTACTGCATATGCAGCTTATTAAAGCCAATCAACAGTTTGAGGAAATGAGAGGTTGCCTTGGCAATTTTGCTGTCATTATTAAATTTTAAACAAGACCCCTGTCTGATCAGAAAGTTTATTAGAGCATTTACCATAACGCAATTCAGAATATTCAGTGAGTATTGAAGATCAGAGAATTCAATTACTACACAGCATTTTCTGTCTGAATTTTGACAGCTCAAGCTGCTTTTTTTTTCCTTTTTTTTTTCGGTTACATGAGAACCCTGTTAGTTTGGTTATCCATCCTTAATTCCCCCTTTTTACCGGTGCTCTAAAGAGACAATTACTGTCTGGCTTCAGTACAAATTTGTATGGGTACTTATATTTGCCCTTCTGAGGTGAACGATTATCGCATTTAAGACATCAATGCTGACAAAATGGAATGCACACAAATAGTAACCCTTTGACATTCAAGACCTTTCTTCAAGTGATTATTGTCTGAATTCTTTGTGTTGATATCGTATTTGAAACCGTAGATTAAGTCTGCGAGCCAGAACCTCCTTCAAGTATACTCGTGTGTTGTGACGACATATCAAAAGAGTTGAGAGTTTGTGGCTGGTACCACTCGGCCAAGAGATATGTCAGATACCAAACTTAGAGATACATTTACTAGAATTTGTTACACATTAGTTGAGTATTGCTATTTTCAAAGGGTTTGTTTGCCAATTTTTTAACATATCTGAGGAGTACCTTGGTCGAGAGGAAACGCTGCTTGACACAAGCCAAGAATTATTTGTTCACAGACACTTGACTGACCTTAATCTTTATGTGATTAAGAGACATTTTCAGGATCTAACTGAAAATTTATTGAAATAATTACCCTTTCTTTTCAGGGCTTTATGAGGTAAATGTAATTCCTACAGAGGATTCTGATAGACTTGAACTTACAGGAAACTATCTTATGACAGTTCGTAAGGAATACTTATGCCTTCATGGCGCAAAAACAGGAGAAAGAGTTTTAGAATGGGAACTAGATCATCTTCCACGATTTCGACTGCAAAGACTGTCACATCTTCAAGATTTAGACAAAGTTTTAACATTTCAAGCGGGAAGGTAAGAAAATAAAGTCATTGGTTTGTTGAGAAACTTTTCTGCTGCGTCAGCGGGCAAGTTTATAATTAGCTAGCACTTGGTTGACGTTAAACTAGAAGTCAAGCGCTAATTTTTGGTCGCATCAGAGTGCTCCGACAAAAAACTAGCGCTCGATATGTCGGCTTTTTGAAATCTGATTCGCGGCTCCGTTTTGTTTTCCTTCATGAACTTCTGTTCCATATTTATTGAAGTGTTTTGATTTTAAGATGTAGAATGAGCCCTGCTTTTGTCTTATATACGTGCACTAGCAAAGGATTGATTACACACTGGAAAATATTAGCCTGCTCGCGGGCTCTAGCTTGCGTTTCGTGTACTGGCTCGAAACCCAGAAGCCTCACAACTCATGCCGCAGCGGTATAAACGAGAACTTGCTCGCTGGCTCTCATGAGCACAGTCAAGACAAAGTTCTGATGTTATCTTTTACACTTGCTATGTCGGTTACTCAAATTTTTTACTGCCTCGTCATTCCTGGTCAATATGCCCTCGTTCGAAGTTAGTTCACTTGCCTACCTCTTTGGCTGGTTAACCTTCATTAGGATAGAGGGGGTAAGTCTCTAAAGAAACTGTGGTGCTGCGTCGGTGGGAGAGTATAATAGGTTAATTTAGTATTATCAACTGAGTTGATAGCGTAAATTGGCCACCGTAAAGAGTTTAAAAGCAGACGTTTCGACCATTCGTCCTTAGTCAGAGCGTTGGAGTGACAAAGGGCTAACGCTCGAAACGTCAGCTTTTAAACTCTTTTCGATAGCCAATTTCCGTTATCAATTCAGTTGATAATCCTATATTACCCTTCATTAGTATATGCCACTTAGGTGAATAATTCTTTTCGCGAGAGCTGATTGGCTAGTTCGGACGTGATAAGTAAGCATTATCCACCTCAAAGCAGCGGAAGAAACAAACCGCGTGTCAAGAGTTTAATTTCCTACCATTTATTGGCATAGTCAGAAATAAACTAATTTTTTGGTTTCTTGTGTAGTAAATACTAAAACAATTGTTCACCTCAGTATCGGTGAAAGTGGTGGATATTTACCCCACTTCGGTGAATAATTGTGAATTATTTTGTCAAATGACATTATTAAATGAGACTCCCGTCGGTGCTTTTTTTTGTTTGTTTGTTTGTTTTTCAAAGAACGAATCCAGTTGATGAAATCCACAATTCAAGTCATTTCCCATCGCGATCTAGCTCTGCCTTTGGTCTTCACTCGACTTGTGTCCAGTTTCTTATAGCCCTCATTAACAGCGCTTCGACGGGGGCACCAGCTTTTCTACGCCCGCGGGAAAGTACGAGGCCTTGAGTAAATCTGCAAGGGGTCTGGCACTGAGAATGTTAGACCCCCGAAAAACCTCTCCCCAACCCTTCTCGAATCTTCTCGCAGGCGAAGAAATGTGAATCCTACGGCGCCTGCTCGCATGCTGTTGTAATCCACGTCCTGCGCGAGATTTGAGATTGCATTTAATAGGACACGCAGCAAAGTGCGAAATCCGTAACTAAATCGACTGTGGGCAAATCAATCCATATCAAAGGGCAGCCCGTCTCTTGGGGAAAATGACCGAATACCTTAACCTGCTACTAGAAAAGTATACCGGTAACTTGATCTATAAGAGCGCCTCTCACAGTTATCTTATTCAACAGATTGACTAGCTTTTCTTGTGATCTATTTTTAGGGGCTGTAAAACAGGCGAGGGACATTTTCAATTCCTGACCCAACGAGGGCGAGAAATTTTGGACTGTGTGAAACTGCAAACTCAAAAGCTTGCCAACATGCGGCAACCTCTTCCCCACGAAAGACACAGAAGACCTTCAATAGACTCTGTTCCCTGCACAAGATCGTCTGAAAATGAGACTGTGGATAGTCTGACGAGCAACTCATTTTCTTGATAGTTATTTCATTGGAGCATTTCAGCCAACTTTCGATGTGATGATATCGTTTGCGCTCCTCGCGTTCTCAAGAAATCGACAGATTTTGAGCACTGTTTGTTGCCTTTGTTTTCCTAAGGTGGACAGCGAAATGTACCAAACCGAAATATTCAACGCACCCTCCGAGCTTGAAAGGCTCTTGTGGACAATCGACAAAGGGACTGAGAACTATTATCGCCGAGAGGGGTCGGAGGATTTTGGTTGTGTCACAATGAAATTTACCTGATTTCCCCCTTAAGGCTCTGTAGTATTCGAATGATTCCCCCCCCCCCCCCCCACTGGCAGTCAACTTTCTATAGCATCCCCTCCCTTTTTATACTCTGTTAAGAACGACTGTCTCTTCCACCCCCCCCCCCCCCCCCTTTCTGATGATGATGTGACCCACCCAAAATACTGCGGGCTCCTACCCCTCCGGTCCTTAAATAATTTCAGTCGTTGCCATGGTTTTCTCAAGGTCCTTGGCACTTAAGTACTTCAGCCCTTGACGGAAAGGTTCCAGTGCTATGTGAGACTTGTGCGAGAAATTGTGTGTTGATGAAAGGACGATATGGTTTAGAAGGACAACGAAAAAATGATTCTCATAAGTGTGCGATATGCACTCAGAATTGAGTTGCAAATGGGGCTTAAAAATCCAACCACCTAAAGTGAAATTGCGAAACGTATTGTCTCAAAGATAATTTTCTAATAACAAAGAAACTATCATTTGTGATTATAAATATGATGCTTACATGATATTGATCAACTCCATGGCTCCAATGTAGTCGTGGATAATTCTTTCTCCTTACTTATCTCTCTTGACTTGTGTCGCCTTCTTCTCACATTGAGACACTAATTTGCTTGTGGTGTTTTACGCTTTTTCACTCGACTCTTGGGTTTTCCAAACCTTTTGTTGTGTATGGAACGCACTGTGTTGCTGTGCGTTGTTATGTATGATTGATATGAAGAAATTATTTTCACAAAATAAAAAGTTAAGATACGATCCCTGAGTTACAATTTTGTTTGTAGTTATTTCCTAGAGCGTTTTCAAGGACTTGAGATAACTGCTTTAGTAGGTACAAACCCCAGCCTTTTGGGAAATTCCGCGCAATGACAGACTGTAAATTACGATTATATATAGTCTAAGGTGTGTAAGGCTCTGGTGTCTAGATACTGCTGCTGCGCGGAAATATCTGTTCGCACTTAGCAAATGTACAGACTGCTGAATGGATCCTTTGACCGTTTATCGGCTTCTCGTTATGATCTCAATGGTTCAGTAAACTAAATATGATTCTCACGCCAGGGGTTTATCGGGCCTGTCAGCCAGGAGGGCTGTTAGTAAATGACGCAGACTAATAGAGGCTGTCTGAATATGAAATATCCTGTAGATTTCCCCCCTTCTTAGCAACGACAACAGCGCATTCTGCAAAACGCCATCAATCAATCAATCTTCCAATTAGTCAATCAAAATTCTTCACTTGATCTTAATCGAGTTGCACGACTTTCACTAAAATCTTGGGGACGTGCAGTCTAGTCAAGAATAGGATGATTCACCATGGTTCAGTAGAAAATTTCTTGTTACCAGTCAGCCTATGTAGCTCACGGGGCTTTTCAGCATTTGAGAGCAAAGAAAATTAGAGCTGCAGAGCCATGCAAACGAGTGATGAAACCACGAGAGGAAAGAGGCGGATGAAACTTATCTCTTATCATGGCTTCAGCCTTTCAGTCAACTGATTGCTCGCAAAACTGTCAGTAACGCAGACGAGGTACAGTCATTAATTTGGATAATGAGAGTGTTGATATAAGGGACTGAAATCTCCTTTTAGCGCTTCTTATCAAGGTAACCCAGCGTCAGCTTACCCCGTCCTGTGCTACAAATCATGCTTTAGTACGTAGACATTCCACACAGCATGCGCTTGTTCTCTGGCTAGGAATTGCAGCAAACCTAAGTAACAATGTTTTCGGGAGACAGACACGTTAAATCTTAAAAAATTACTTAAGGGAGACTACCTTTAATTTGGAAAACACAGCGGTCAAACGTTGGGCATAAGCAAAGGGATCGATTTAGGTCGGCCGAATGCCAATTCCCCACGCAAAATTTCATAGGAATACATTTGCATATGCGTAGACGTTTGACCGCAGCGTTTCTTTGATCCTCCAATCTGCGGATTCAAAACCTGACTGAGCCCACAATTTAGACAGACTTGCTAAGATATAATGCTGTCAACACAGCGGTTAACTTTTAGGGCATGTGCGAGGGATTAATTTTGGCCGCCGGCGCGCCGATTTCCCGCGCAAATTTTCAAAGGAAGAGAAAACAAAGTAAGCGAAAGAAAGTTGAAACAACAAGTCGGCGAGAATATGTGGTTGATATAATACTTCCCAAAAATTCCCACATGTCTTGAATACATGAAGTTTCCATCTTAAGTTAAGGGGATAAGACTTGCTCCGATGCTGATATATTCAGTTTCCTGATCTTTACGTGTACGTTCACCACCCAGACTCCATAAAATCAACACATGCCGGGTAAGTTATGTATAAAAACTCCTTCTAGTCACAAGAGGCTATCTGAGTATCACTGTCTTTGATTAAAGCTATGACAGATCTTCGGGGTCGCTCTTTTCGTAGGCTTTCGTCTTCCGCCGTTTTCTCGAGTCTTTTGCAGAAAGTTGCCTTCGAGAAAATCCTCATTATCATTAGCGCTGCAGAACGCGCGTTACTCCGCCCGCGGGAAGATTTGAGACGAGTTGGGGAGAAGTTTGTCGGGGGTCTGGCACTAACAATTATTATAGAGCTAGTGCTAGACCACTTGCAGACCTCCTGCCGGCTAGTCAGGCTAGTGTCATTCAAGGCCTCCTGCAGTTCCCGAGAGTAAAGAAAACACTCGTGCCGAGGCGCTGATACTGATGAGGGCCTGTTTGTAGGCTACTGGGTAAGGGGAAGGGTTTTTAAGACCAGTTCTTCCACGAACACTGAAAACCGTAGTCCTGATTCAAGTTTTTAGAGTCTAAACCAGATGTCTGACTTTCGCTTTTGTGTTACTCACACTTTTGCTTCATTACGTAATCACCTATTGTTGACGGGAATATCAAAGACTTACTACTGTGCAAAGTTCTTTAGTAACACTCATCAAAAGTAAACCACTTTGGCAAATAGGATCAAATTTATCCAGTACGTGACGGCCTCTACTGTTTCCGGAAATGTCACTATTACACTAACCCAGATAACGGTTTGAAGCTTGGCCTCGTGAACATGGTATGAAGGTTAGAAATGGAAGGAAATTGTTCATTCTGATATTGAGAAATAAGTAATTTTTCAAAGCCTTCTTCTGCAAACCCATTATTTTTTCATGTGTTACAACTTGGCTACAACGAATATCAATTTATTGTGGTTCTCTCCACAATCTTAGATTTTTTTTTGTCTTTAAAACGGTCATAGATTGCGACGACTTGACATAGCTGTCACCATGTTTGAATATCGGGACCCTTGTGCTTGGTTTACAAGCCGTAGAGAATATTTTTGTATCGGCCCCGTTTGATCCGCTGTTAAAAATGCAGTTCTTTATTTATATATACTCCTTTTGGCAACGTCAGGCACAACAGTTAATAGTCCTTAGCGATTAAATTTGTTCCATCGGTTTACCTCTCAATTAATTTATTTCCGTGTTTTATCGCAACTCGATCAATAATGGTTGAAAGTCGGAAAATCACGATATGAGAGTATCCTGACGACTCCGTCACCACCTCAGGTGGCTCTCAGACGAATTCGTAGTCGTCTAGTCGGCAAAGCCAGTCGGGACTCGAGCCTAACGGGAGAACTTTGTCCGCAAGTTCGTGACAAATTTAACAACCACCTTAATTTTCACCCTTTGTTTAACAGTCAGACTTTGGCCGACGACAAGAGCCTGAGAGAGCGATATTCTTTGGCTATCAAAGAGAACAAACTATAAAAGTAATACTCAATGACACTTCTCACATAAAGAGTGCTCTTTCAAGTCTCCCCAGACGACAAGTGGGCGCCAATGATCACACCCTACGGTTTTGACATGAAACGTTACAAGAGAGAACTTAAAAATTCTTTGTAAAAAAACTTTACTTTTGTTTAACCAATATTTTAAGTTTTAAAACAATTAAGTCTCAACAACTATTTTTCAAAACAGGAAAGCTGAGCTTATTACGTTAAATAACGGTTGTGATGCCGAGGCAATAAATAATAATCTGTGTTCCGAAAACGAACTAAGAGTGTGTGCAGAAAGCTTATCTAGAAAGTTCAGTAGAAAACGTCCCTTATAAATAACACGACATTATTTGTAGAAACACTATATCAACATCTTAAAAAGTGAAAAAATTAATAGTGGGCTACAAAAGAGTAGTAATATTGTTGACCATTATGTTGGTATCAAGATTAGTTTGGGCTCTAAAGAATTTCACAGCATCATCAACCACTGCATTCTAAAACTTTAGTCGAATCCTACAACTACTTTCTAGCTTATCGTTTAAGAATTGATGTAAAACTTGGCTAAGAATATAAGAGTTATCTAGTCTCTACGAGAAAAATGCTTTTAATTTACGAAATTAATTTACGGACAGAAAATTCATTTTACATCATAAATACTTTTGGGTTGTATAGTGAAATTTTCGAATGAAATTTCATTTCATTTGTAAAATTTCGCCTGTAATGTACTAAGTTGCTATTTACAATTAACGATAACGATTGATTTAAAATATTCGTGTCACTGGAGTGCTTTAATTCAAAATTTCCCAATGAAATTCGTCCGAGTCAGTCTTCCAATTGTAACTGTGGAAGTGGCCGGCGATTTACAACAGGAGGTAAGCTTTCTGGTGAAGCGCTTTTCGTTTTTTTCTTTTTCTTCTTCTTCGGAATTGGAGCATCTACAGTGTCTTGTCCTTTCGCTACATCTTCCGGTTTAATATCTTTCGTGACAACCCCAACAAGTTCACATTCCTCATTATTACTTGTCTGTGAATTCACTCCTTCACGAACTTTCCGTTTTTTCCTCTTCCTGGGACTTGGTACCAGTTCCTCGCCTTCATCATCATCGGCTAAAGTCATCCCACTAGGCCCCGGTCGGGCTGATGCTGTGTCAGTACCGTATTGGTCGACAACAATTTCCGCAGGTTGCTCTAGCTTAGAGGCCATGTTTGCGATTGCCGGCTGATGAATTGCAACCCGTGGGGTAGTGGATGTGATTTCCTTCAAGGATTCCTCTGAACCTGAAGGCTCCGTCATGCCCAGTGGCGAATAATCTTTGATTACTGAGGGTTGTTTAGACACTAATTCCTGGTCTTGTGATTGTTTATGGTCAACACTGGATCTGTGATGTTTAGCAGCGGCCTGAAGTGATTAAAACAGTAACAGTAAGAATAAAATGATAAGAGAGGGTAGTTTTAATGTCGGTACCAGAGACTTCCTGTTAATATACCAAATAGAGGTAAGAAATTAAACTCCTGACGCGCGATTTTATCTCATCAGCTGCACAGAGGTAAATAGAACTAGCCACTCACTTCCGAACTAACCAATCAGCGTGCGCGTAAAGCACGATGCCCTTGTGTACTAATAATGGTTACGATAATGGTTACAGTGGAGGCAACGACCAGAGTTGAAAAAAATATTCAATACACCTCACAACTGGCTAAGTTGAACCGATAGTGTAAATGGGAACTTATAAAAAAGGAATGAACTTCTCATTAAACAATGACATAGCAAAAAAGTGAACTGAACGAAGTCTCTGAATTTCTTTTGGCATCCAAAAACCCCTCATGACAGATCGCGAAATCGGTATTCTTTTGTGCTTGGACCAAATAATTTTGTGCTATTTAGACTAATTCTCCCTAAAACAGAGATGTTTGATCTCATTCTCTAGGTTGGAGTAGGGTCTATTAGGCATACCGAGCACATCTACTCACTTTCTGGCAAACAAATCGGATACACACCTTAGAACTGACTTCACTTATGAACTTGACAGTTGTCTCAACAGGGAGAGAATCCTCTGATACCTCGGACCTGCCATGATCACTTATTTCAATCCTTAAAATATTAAAGAAGACAAAAAAAATATCACTCTGTTGTAGGAGAATTCCAGTACACAGTTACAGTGTCAAAAAGATCTAGGCCTATGATATACATCTGTTGAAACCTCTTTACTGCAATACTTTAAGTCAACTTTGCTATAGAATCTAAACTGTCAAAGGTCCCTAACATCTGAAAGCATTCTTAGGGAAATTGCAAAATGAAATTGCTGTTTGCATTAACCCTTTAACCCCTAAGAGTGATTAGTATCTAATTTCTCCTTACAATATCATCCCTGAATCACACATTTAGGATACAAGAATAAAGGAAATGATCAAAAACTAAAGCTCTTGATTGTTAAACAAATTCTCCTTGTCAGCCCCTTAGGAAATGTACAGAGCATAGTATGGAGAGTTTGCATACTGATGTTAGGGTGTAAAGGGTTAACTTGATGAGACTCACCTTGGAGGTTCTGCATTCTCCCTCCTGTCTTCTTCAGGTTTCACTTTATTCTGTGAATTAAAAATACAAGAATATCAACTGAACAATCTCACAACCAGAAAGGAAAGAAGAATACCCAATGATTTCACCTCAACAACCATGACACTTGGGAAGGCTGGACACTTCATTTACTGCTACATGTGAATGTTTTGAGTAAATGAGAAAAAAAAAAAACCAATGAAAAAAAAACCGCTGTACAGATAAAAGGTTGGAAAAAGAGGGAGAGGTCAATTAGGTGTGTTAATTCAAGTCATGAAGTAGTTCTTCCCACCCTTAGCAGCCATGTTTTATTTCTTTTTTCAAATGATCAACACAGTTTTTTTGACATAATTTCCCAAAATGCTCCCACGTCAATACATAATATGTTGACTTATAACTGACTTGTACAGAAGATAACTCAACTTGAATCTAACAGAATAATGCTATAAGTACAGGTAAAACTCTCAGCTCTTAATTACCAAGACCTATTGGAAACTGCCAGATATGGCTTGCATAACTGGAAAGTTAGCAAATATGAGACAAAGCAGTGTTAAAATACCTTAAATAATTTTCTATTTGATAGTGACTTTGCACCTGCTTCAACATCAGTGACACCAGCTTGGCTATCTCTTGAATTAATAATGAACTCGTATGTGGATATTCTATGACACACTGTTGAAGAGCACAAAGCAAATGGTTCAAAACCAATACATAACTTCGTCATTACTAGAGAAGTCTGTGAAATGAAACATACCCCAATAATGCACATAAGCTGACAGGGCAATCACTAGGCATTAGATGACAGAGAACTTTAAAGAAATGTCAATGGACTCCAGATCTGGTTTTCATTTAAGTGTGGAGAATATTTACATAACTTGATGACCATGCCGTAAACTTCCCTTAATAATATCAAATGTCAATTTTAACTTGGCATTCAACAATATAGTTGAGCATGGAAGTTATTATCAACAATATATGGGTTTGATCAAGTTGCAATCAGATGTCATGTTCAAAGCAAATCAACAACACAACTTTATCTTTTTTGCTTTGTAGCATTGTATGCTGTATTAATAGGTTTGTAACAATGCTGATGAATGTCCTGTCAATGCTCTATATAACATCCATCTGTCAATATTCTGAAACAACAAACTTATCTTTTACAATCACTGTTTTAACAGTCTCACTGCAAACTTAAAAAAAAATCAGGAACTTGAAGAAAAAAGGAAAAACAAACCGACCAGTTCAAACAACAAATGAAAGTCAGTTATTCCCACCCCAAAATTTAACAGTAAGCCTTTACTTGTTGTACTCTTTCCTGGTTTTCTGGCTCACATCTTAATTTCCTGAATTTTCCCCATTGCATAAAACACCTAACCAATAGTAGGGCTTGATAGAATGCATGTTCCCTTAATGGAATAACCTTGCATGTATTTCGAACCTTGTTAATTTCTATTTTGAACCAGTGGGATGCTATGTAATCACAGGTTGTTGTATCAGTTATTAATTGCTTCCTTACTTAAATAAATATGAAATCCTAGCAGGTGTCCAAGAAGAGCTATGGTAAGCAACAGTAGACCCAATATAACACCAAGGAATGCAACAAATACTTCATCAGAAGAGACTTCAACAAATACTTTGAACTGTCCTCCTGAAAGACAAACACAGTGGTTGCTTTAAGTCACTTAAACAATACTTTCATCAGCACCAAGCAGTGAAAAAAAAAAAAAACACCCAAGATTAAATTCCCAGGGGAGGGGGTGAGCAAAACTAAAGGTTTAGTAACTTAGTGTTACAGTCAATGGTTTCAACCTGGGGGTAACATATGATTGTGTGGTCTGATCATCTGGGTGAGTATAGTCCTGAGAAGGACTGTTGGAGGGTAGTAGCAACTGATGTTTTGCAACTGGCCAATCAGGACTGACTTACACCACTTGAGTTTTACAGCCCATAACATAATGGCTAAATGACCAATAAGTTTCCACAAACTGGACATAGTACATTCGACTAACAACAACTAGTCACTTGACTATAATGATCACCTCTGCTCAGGTTGTCAAAACATCAGTCACTACTACTGCCAATGTAGGGCAATAAAAAGGCATTGGGTCACTACTACCACAGTTGTTCTCTGGACTACACTTAACTGGACAATCAGACCAAACTAGACTCAATAATACTAAATTATCCTATTACACTCTTCCACCAATACAGTACCACATTTTCTTTAAAAACTTACCCTCTAAACTATAACTTACTGTTGTCGCCACTACAGTTAAGATTGTCATAGGGTAATGTAATATTATCAGGCCAGCTAATAACATAAGTTGGCCACTATAAAGATTAAAAAAGCTGATGTTTCCAGCATTAGCACTTCGTCAACTGCTCTGACAAGGGGCTAACAATCAAAACATCAGCTTTTAAACTCTTTACGGTGGCCAATTTACATTATCAACTCAGTTGATAATACTAAATTACCCTGTTATACCCTCCCACCAATGCAGCACCACAGTTTCTTTAGAAACTTACCCCCTTTAAGATTATCATAGTTGTACCCTTAATTACAAGATACTCCTTCCTAGTAACAAACACATTGTGGGATTACCATAGGAGTGAATATGAAAGTAACTTGTTCACAGCACACACTTTAATGGTAGTGGGATAATTTTGGTAATTATGTAAGAGATAAATACCGAGAACGGA